TCAGCAATACCTTTTACTAAATGATCTTGTTCAAGTCACTTAAAGTCACTCAATGTTGTGATGATTATTTGTATTGTTGTTATTGGCTTTTTGCCCCAAAGACCTCTGTGTAGCCAATTGTTATTTCCTAACTTATTATGTAAATGTCTGCTATTTGAGTGTTTGTTTTTTTTTAATTTAAGTAGGCTCCACACCCAATGTGGAGCTTGATCTCATGACCCAGAGATCAAGAATTAGATGCTCCGACAACTGAGCCACCCAGGCACTCCAGTGATTTGAGTTTTAAATGAAGCTCTCAAAATACTGCTTGGTATTGTACTTATGCATATTTCTTCAATGACTCATTGCCACCAATATTTCCTCAGTGACTCATTGCCACCAAATAGCCCTCCCTCGGCCAAAATTTTATTTCTTCAATCTTCTCATTTTGCCCGGCATTTTTCCCAAACTAACCAAATATGAGTTTGCTCTTTAGTGAGTCACAGACCAGGTGAGTTGTCACTCAAAGGAAACTTTAGTTGCCACAAATAAGGAGATCACTTGGAATAACTTCCAAAGCCATGAGGACTCCTCTAGCAAGTGTGAATGGTTTCCTTTTATTTAGAGTTAGGATGAATATTTAGAAAGGGGCACCTGACTTTGGCTCAGGTCATGACCTCTTGGTTTTTGTGTTTGAGCCCTTCCTCCAGCTCTGTGCTAACAGCTCAGAGCCTGGAGCCTGCTTCACATTCTGTGTCTCCCCGCTTGTGCTCTCTCTCTCTCAAAAGTAAATAAATATGTAAAAAAAAATTTTAAACATGAATGTTTAGATAGAGAAGACTTGTCATCCTCTGTAGAGTCAGGCATAGGTCGCAAATGGGCCTTATAGAAACTTGCCTATACATACATCGTATAGTATGGAAATGAGGCCTATGCTCCTGCTTGGGCAGAGACTTTAGTATTATAATGTGATAAAGGTAGTTAGTTTTGAGTCATTCTAGAGATCACTCCATAGTCCATCTCTTCAGGCGCAAGTCAGGGGTTGCACTCAAACTGATCCGGGCTGCCCGGAGGTCTTGTCAGGGCAGTCGCTGTGGCTTGAGGGGTGGTTTTTGGTTTCCTTTTGCTTGAGTTAAGACATAAAGATAGAAGACTGTGTGGAGGTTCCTCAGGAAACTAACAATAGAACTCCCTTATGACCCAGCAATAGCACTGCTAGGAATTTACCCAAGGGATACAGAAATGCTGAGGCATAGGAGCACATGTACCCCAATGTTCATAGCAGCACTCTCCACAATAGCTAAAACATGGAAAGAGCCTAAGTGTCCATCAACAGATGAATGGATCAAGAAGATGTGGTTTATCTATACCATGGAATACTACATGGCAATGAGAAACAATGAAATCTGGCCATGTGTAGCAACATGGATGGACCTTGAGGGTGTTATGCTGAGCGAAATAAGTCAGGCAGAGAAGGACAAATACCATATGTTTGCACATATAGGAGGATTAGGAGGAACTTGACGGAGGAACAAGGGGGAGAAGAAGGGCGGAAATGGTGGGGGAAAGGGAGAGAGGCAAACCATGAGAGACTCTTGAATGCTGACAAAAACTGAGGACTGATGGATGGGGGGGGATGGGCATGGAGGAGGGCACTTTGGGGATGAGCAATGAGTGTTATGTAGAAACTAATTTGACAATAAACTATTTGTAAAAAAAAAAAAAAAAAAAGAAAATACAAGGAGAATAAAATGTGAAGTTAAAAAAAAAACATTAAAAAAAAAAAAGACATAAAGATAGAAGAGCTTAAGGAAAAATGTGGAACAAAGGTCACTGAGTACAAACAGGTGGGCAATAAATGTCAGGTCTTGAGGTCTAGTTGGTGACAAAGCCACTGGTTTTTGTCACTTGGGCATAAGAGTATGTGAGGAAAACACAAGTGAGAGAAAACAAATGCCATCATTGTGAACCACACGTGTTTTCCCTAACAGGCTTGACTGGAATGGAAAACCAATGAGAAGCAGTATGAAAAACGTATATACATATGCAGTATACACTTTTGCAGTTGCATAAATTTATGTAGACATCAAGTAATTTTTACCAAGAGCACAAAATACTTCCTATGTTCTTATTTAAAACTACGAGGAAATTGGTTGGTTCTGACATTGTCTGATTGTTGGGCTTCTTCCTTTATAATATACACCATCATCTACACAAACCAATTCTTTTTTTTTTTTAACACAAACCAATTCTTAACATTCTTTACATTCATGTGTTTTTTCTATATATGTCCACTATTAATTAAATCATCTTGAAAACCAGGTAATTTGTTGATTGCTTATTAAAATAAAGTTATAGACGCCTCTATTTCATTTTATATTTAAATATATTTTTCAGAGGTCTCTTTCTTTTACCCTAAAACTTAATAGAAATTAATTTTCAAACACAAAGATACTTGATAACACATACTAAAGTAGAAATATATTTCATAGTGTAATATATAATGAAAGCAGGACTTTGTAAAAAATTTACTTAATTTTAGTTAAGTGGATTTCTCATAATAGTCTGTGGCATAATATTTTGATTTTTTAAAAAATTTTTAAATTTATTTTTTGAGAGAGAGAGTGAGCAGTGGAGGGGCAGAGAGAGAGGGAGAGAGAGAGAGAATCCCAAGTAGGCTCTGCACTGTCAGTCCAGAGCCCAATACAGGGCTTGAACTCACGAATAGTGATATCGTGACTTGAGCCAAAATCAAGAGTCAGATGCTTAACTGACTGAGCCACCCAGGTGCCCTAATATTTTGATTTTTTAACATTGTACAACTTCTTACTGATTCTGAACTTGATCCCTTTGCTTTTCTTGGAATGTTGGAAGATATTTAAAAATTGTTTTTCCCGGGGGTAGGGTGGGGTGGAGATTGGTGTGTGTGTGTGTGTGTGTGTGTGTGCGTGTGTGTGTATAAACATGGACCAATATGACTGAAATGAAAACTCTATAGGTCAGTTGGTAACAGCTCAACTATAGCTGCTTACAAGGAACTTGGAAACATGGATGCTGCTACTCACATAACAAAGGGATATCTCCAGGCATATGAGAATGCTGATTGTGTGGTTTTTAACTTGATTGCCCATTTTGGAACCTTAACCTGATTTAGCCTCTTTATTTTTAGTGTACCAGTAATATGTCATGTGCATGTGGCCTCTTTTAGTATCAGCAGGAAATTAATGGTGAAGGTTGGGCTGATTATCTCAATCATGTCAATATCACTGTATTACTATTCCTCTACCAACAACAGGAGGTAGAATACTGCCTGGGAAATATAGCTAAACAGTCCAATAGATGATTTTTTTCTAACCCACTGTAGGATCTGTTGAGTGCAGTGTCTCACATAGTACCAGGTGTACCTGAACAATTAATAAATGTCATTCTATAATTTGGTATGTGACTGGTGAACAAGATTAGCAAGAGGAGATAATATCTTGTAGCAAGTGTCCTGGGCAAACTTTGCATTCTAAAGGGTTTTTAATCATGAAATTTTAAGCATGAAATTCTGTTTAATTCCTCTAATGTGCCATTACTTGTATTCTAAATTTCTCAATGGAAAAAAAAACAATTTTTATGTTGTCTTATAGAAGAACAAATTATTATTTAACCTCATCTATCTTAACTAGCTTAGTCATGTTCACTAAAATGAATTGAGTTTAGAAAGATAATAGAAGTATTATGCCATACAGTGAATGTCAGTTAATGTCTACAATCCATTTATATTTTACATTACAACCTGATTATGAAATATTTCAAGAACACTTCAGAAAGTATAGAGAATAATATAAAGAACAGCCATGTCACCATTCACAGTTTTGTAAGATCTTAACATGTCATATTTGCTCTTGATATATTTTTTTAAGAAACTGAACAATTGGAAGTTCTGGTGTAACTTTCTCTCCCTCTCTTCCCAGAGATAACTACTATAATTGAATTTGGTGTTTGTAATTCCCTTATATGTTCCTGTACTTTTAGTATATATATATATGTATCCATAAATTATATATAGTAGTATTTTGTGTATGAAGTTTTGAGACTTCTTATAAATGATATCACTCTGGACATATTCTTCCCCAACTTGCTATTATCACTCAATTTTTATGTTTTTGCCATTTATCCATGTTCATAGATGAGGATGGAGTTCATTTAAGTTGCTTATAGTATCCCATTGTACAATGTGAAAAGTTAAGGCAACTGTGCAGTTAGAGGGTGTAGTCCCCACAAGACTGTCCATATTTCAGCTCTCCCACCCCATTTGTTGAGTCTGCTAATTCTCACTAAGGGTAAGGTATTTTTCTTCATTTGTTGTATAATATTAGATATAAATTCAACAAAAAGGGATTCTATCTGTGGCAATTTCATGTGGCCTCATATCACTCCAGAAAGTTATAGCAATTGCTTCCACTAAGTCTCCAGAGGTACTACTGACTCAGAGTCACTTTTTATGGTATTTTATTGGTTATGGGTTTCTTGGATCATGTAGTATACTTTCAAACCCCCCACCTGTGTGAGGACAGAGCACTGGTTATAAATACAGAGGTATAATTTTCCTCTACCCAGGGATTTAGATAAAACAGTTTTTGTGTTTTCCCTCTTATAGTATGTGGATCCCTCCCCTTCAACACCTTTTCACTGAACTGTAGTCCTTTAAGGATCCAGACATTATGAGAGAATATCTCATTTTATATCCCATACCTTATTTGGATTCTAAGGCCTCTCCTGTCCCTATGTGGGCATCAGAACCTCACCCCTTAGATTCATGAGATAGGCAAACTCCCTAGAACTTGTGCAGCATTAACTCATGTGCTTACTGCTCTAGTTTACGGTTTCCAATGTAGTTTTTGCTTATGTTTATGGTAATCAAAATCCTTTTTCTGTAAGATCAGGTTTTAAAGGTAACATATTTCAAAGAAAATAATGCTACCTTAATTTTCAACTCAAGAATCCTAATTCACACTTTCCTATTTTCTTCCTAGGATGTGTGCTGTGTTTGGTGGAATCTATTGTCTTTGCCATTCAGTACAGTGCCTTGTTGTGGACAAAGAATCCAGAAAGTAAGGATGATATAAGTTACGTTCTTATAGCCACATCCCAAGCACAGGTGAAAAATGCTAAAATCAATTTAAAAAAAATGGTTCTTCAAAGATCCTCCTTGGTATTAATAACATATTAACCTTGATTAAAAGTAATTTCGTGTTTAGATCCTTGAGAACAAAGAAAGTCAGTTCAGAATGTAGAAACTAAATTAATTTCCTGGCAATATAACTACAGCTCCTGATCATCCAAGCCTGGAAGATAAATTATTTCAGCTGCTGGGGGTGGGTGGTGAGTGATGTTAGTTTTCCTTGTGGCCTTACCTCCTCTAATTGATTTTTATCAGTAACAACAAAGCCCTCTGTTATTGCATTTTTAAAAATGGAACTCATCTAAAGACTCATCAGATTAATCTCTGCTGATAATGCATGTCACTCCCAAGAGAAAACACTTTAATAATTTTTTAGGTAGATTGTTGTCATAAACTATGCTTCCCTGTTATCTGAGGATAAATTCTTTTATAATCACTTTAGGCCTATAGACTGGCTTAGGATTGTAATAAGAATTTACCTGCTTTTAAAAAATGATAAGAACTATGTATTTATCTCTATGTTTTTGCATTTCAATAGTATTTTTCTAGGATTTATTACTTAGTTACTAAGATACACTGTTGTCTGAATTACACTAAGTACTATTCATTGATTTCTTCTGGCCATTTATAGCAACATGGATGGAACTTGAGGGTGTTATGCTGAGCGAAATAAGCCAGGCAGAGAAAGACAGATACCATATGCTTACACTTATACGAGGATTAGGAGAAACTTAATGGAGGACCATGGGGGAAAAGGGGGAAAATAGTTGGGGAGAGGGAGGGAGGCAAACTATGAGAGACTCTTGAATACTGAGAACAAACTGAGGGCTGATGGGGGTGGGGGAGAGGGGAAGAAGGGTGATGGGCGTAAAGGAGGACACTTGTTGGAATGAGCACTGGGTGTTATATGAAATCCAACTTGACAATAAACTATGAAAGAAAAAAAGTATTCATTGATTTCTAGGTTTTACATTAAAACTGGATGAAGTTTTAGGAGCTGTTTAAATTGCTATGTATTTTTCTTTCTAGTTATGTTTTGTTAAGCAACTACTAACCTATATCTCTTGTATGACTGTTTTTAGGTGTAAAGAAATAGTGTTTTTCAGGTCATAAAATACTTTAATATTTTCAGTGGGAAGCGTAAAACTATAAAATTTAAGCTGTTTCATTTTACAGTAATTTTGTATACTCTTAACTGGCATAATTTCTTATAGACTAGTTATAACACCAATATATTTTGAGATATAACACCAGTATATTTTGAGATATGGTAGAGAGAAATTCCAGTCCAGAACATGTAATAGTTAAGCAGTGAATTCGCTTTAGAAAGTAATTTTCTAGTATAAGATACAGAGACACGGCTTAAAGGTTTGTAAAGTACTTTTAGCACTTTAATGCAAGGTACTACATAAATGAAAAATGATAATCTATTATGAAAAAACTATCTTTGAAAACCCAGGATATTTACATACTGGGTCATTAATTACTCTGTGGAGGATCATGAAGGAATTGCTGTTTTTAAGCCTCTTAGAGTCATTTTTCCTTATACATCCATTTTGAAGCATGAATGTGTTCCCATGATGGAAAGCCTGATAATGAATCGTTTATATGGTACTTATTTACTCAGATTGTTTTTGGGCCCCTTTCAGGTCTACTTGTTGCTCTTAGTGACATGAGGAATTTACATGGCTCATATTTGTGTTTTTTTAATGGATACTTTAGTACAATGATAGCATTTTTTCAACTAAAGGTTACATTTACCTTAACCTTGACTTAGTTTTTATTAGAGACTCTGAACACAGGAACTCTTCTTTATGATCTGCTACAGAATACAGTTGCAACAGAGAGCTGAGGGTTTAGGGTCTAAAGACCAAATTTGATGTGCCTAAGAATCACCAGGTAAACATGTATTGTTTTTCTTTATTTAAAGGAGATTTCCATACTCTGGTTTCTCTTCAGATCGTATAAATCTTTCACCTTTTAAAGGAGATTTCCATGCCTCACCCTCACAGAGTGTAATTGGATAATGTGCTTACAATGGAGGCATGGAATTTGCAGTTGTGAGGAACACCCCCAAAAGAATCTAATATAGATGCTCCTTAGATGACACTAAGAAATACTGATCTGTAAATGTGAAGTTCAGGAATTAATCAGTGTTCCAAGATAGACTGAGAACTCTATATCTTAATTCATTCTAAGCCTGTATCAAGGTGAACATTCCAGATCTACTGGAGTCAATATGAATTTTATTTATTTATTTTTGTTTTGTGTTATTTTCATTAAGCTATATATGTTTTTATTTTCCCCAAAGTTTTATTTAAATTCCAGATCGTTAACATAAAGTGCAATATTAGTTTCAGGTGTAAAATTTAGCTATCCATCACTAACGATGCAATACCCAGTGTACCAATGCCCTCCTTAATGCCTATCACCTGTTTAACCCCTCCAACCTCCCTTCTAGTAACCATCAGTTTATTTTCTATACTTAAGTCTGTTTCCGGACTTGCCTGTCTCTTATTTCCCCGCTATGTTTGTATGTTTTGTTTCTTCAATTCCACATATGAGTGAATTCAAATGGTGTTTGTCTTTATCTGACTGAGCTATATCCACATCATTGAAAACAGCAAGATTTTGTTCTTTTTTATGGCTGAGTAGTATTCCATTTTGTGTGTATGCGTGTGTGTGTATACATACACATATTCTTTATCTGTTCTTTATCCATTCGTCAGTTGATAGACATTTGGGCTCTTTCCATTATTTGGCTATTATTGATAATGCTGCTATAAAGATTGGGGTGCATGTGTCCCTTCAAATCGGTATTTTTGTATCCGTTGGGTAAATACCAAGTAGTGCAATTGCTGGATCATATGGTAGTTCTGTTTGTAACTTTTTGAAAAACCTCCATACTGTGTTCCAGAGTGGCTGCACCAGTTTTCATTCCCACCAACAGTGCAAGAGGGTTCCCCTTTCTCCACATCCTTGCTAACACTTGTTGTTTCTCCCGTTATTAATATCAGCCATTCTGATTTGTGTGAGGTGATATCTCCTTGTAGTTTTGATTTCTATTTCCCTGATGATAAGTGAAATTGAGTGTCTTTTCATGTATCTGTTGGCCATCCGTATGTCTTCTTTGGAAAAATGTCTATTCATGTCTTCTGCCCATTTTTTACCTGGGTTATTTGTTTTTTTGGGTGTTGAGTTTGATGAGTTCTTTATAGATTTTGGATACTAACCCTTTATCATATATCTCATTCGCAAATATCCTCTCCTATTCTAAGCGTTACCTTTTAGTTTTGTTGCTTGTCTCTTTTCCGGTGCAGAAGCTTTTTATTTTGAGAAAATCTCAGTAGTTTATTTTTACTTCTGTTTCCCTTGCCTCAGGAGACACCTCAGGAAAGAAGTTGCCATGCCCAGTGTCAGAGTGGTTACTGTCTCTGTTCTCTAGGATTTTAATGGTTTCAGTCTCACATTTAGGTCTTTCATCCATTTTTAATTCATTTTCATGGATGCTGTCAGAAGTGGTCCACTTAAATTCTGCATGTTGCTATCCAGTTTTCCCTGCACCATTTGTTGAAGCGATTGTCTTCCCATTGGATATTCTTTCCTGTTTTGTCAAAGGTGAATTGACATATAGCTGTGGGTCCATTTCTGGGTTCTCTATTCTGTTCCATGATCTGTGTGTCTGTTTTTGTGCCAATTCCATACTGTCTTTATAACTACAGCTTTGTAACATCACTTAAAGTCCAGAATTGTGATGCCCCCAGCTTTTTTCTTTTTCAAGATTGCTTTGGCTCTTTTGAGGTCTTTTGTGGTTCTATACAAATTTGAGGATTGTTTGTTGTAGCTCTCTGAAAAAATGCTGGTGATATTTTAATAGGGATTGCTTTAGGTAATATAGATATTTTAACAATGTTTGTTCTTCCAGTCCATAAGCATGGGGTGATTTTTCATTTCTTTCTGTCCTCTTTAATTCCTTTCATAAATGTTTCATAGTTTTCAGAGTACAGATCTTTACCTCCTTGGTTAGGATTATTCCTAGATATCTTATGGTTTTTGGTGCTATTGTATATGGGATTGATTCCTTGATTTCTCTTTCTGCTGCTTCATTATTAGTGTATAGAAATGCAACAGAGTTCTGTACATTAATTTTATATACTGCAACTGGACTGAATTTGTGTATCAGTTCTAGCAATTTTTTGGTGGAGTCTTCTGAGTTTTCTATATTGAGTATCATGTCATCTACAAAGAGTGAACATTTGACGTCTTTCTTGCCTACCTTGGATGCCTTTTTTTTTTTTTTTTCCTATCTTATTGCTAAGGCTAGGTCTTCCAGTCCTGTGTTAAATAACAGTGGTGAGAGTGGATATCTCTGTCTTTTCCCTCACCATAGAGGAAAAGTTCTCAGGTTTTCCACATAAAGGAAGATATTAGCTATGGGATTTAAAAAAATTTTGTTTTAATGTTTATTTTTTTAGAGAGACAGAGCACAAGTGGGCGAAGGCAGAGAGAGTTGGAGACACAGAGTCAGAAGCAGGCTCCAAGATCTGAGCTGTCAGCACAGAGCCTGATGCAGGGCTTGAACTCAGGAGCCATGAGATCATGACCTGAGCCAAAGACAGACACTTAACTGACTGAGCCACTCAGGTGTTCCAGCTATGGGATTTTTTATATGGCCTTTATTGTATTAAAGTATGCTCCCTCTATCCCTACCTTTTTGAGGTTTGTTTTTTTTTTTATGTACTTTGTCAAATGCTTTTCTGCATCTATTGAGAGGATCATATGGTTCTTGTCATTTCTTTTATTAATGTGGTATAACACATTGATCGATTTACAAATATTGAACCATCCTTCCAGCCCAGAATAAATGCAGTTGATTGTGGTGAATGATTCTTTTAATGTATTAGTGGATTCGATTTGTTAGTATTTTGT